CCCTTGGATTGGGCGCTTCTAACTTTCCATCGGTGGGTGATATCTCTTTAAGATGCTCGGTGGGGATCATGGGCTCTACCAATCGTATTATTTGCCCCGTGAATCCTTTGACCTTGGTGGGCTGGGCTGCTTTTTCTCCTCCTGCCATGGTGCTCGACAGAGTGTGGTTGCTTCAATCGTAATGCGTGCTTAGATCAGCAGGGTGGAAAACACAACCAAATAGTATGTGTTTTCCATAGATGACACCTAACCGTTAACGTTTCAAATTGTTAGGTTAACAAACTTAATTAAATGACATAAGATGAACTCACAATATGGGCTGAAATTAAATAGACTCAAAGATGTAAGTAGTTCAACGCTCAAAACTGGGCTACATTCACTGTGTTGCTCTTAATATATTGATTTCAAGACTAAATAGCGCTCCGTTAATACATTCACCCTCCTCTCTCCAATTTATCTAACCCCCATAATGGAGGTCCCTACCCCTTTATATAGGCCTCATCACCTTGAGGCTTCTCAAACGGACTTTAAATATGCCAACCATTTGTACTAGCCTACTGAGCTTTTCACCTACTCTGACATGCCTTTGTCGACGAAGTGACGTTCTAGTAGTCAGATGGCAAGTCTTTTAAGGCCCAAGTGGCCAGAGTGTTCGACTTAGACCTCAGTTACTTTGTCTCTCCTTGTCAAGCACTACCCTGATTGGCCTTATGTCCCATCATATGTCTTTGTTATTGCCTGCACGTTGTTGAATAGTCTAAGTAGCACTTGAGTAATTCTATTCTTGGAGACTTGTACCATAAAGTTGTTAGCGTGCCCATATGTTCTTCTCGGTCGAGCAGTTCTTCTTTCGTCTCGGTCGACCCGAGCACTCAGATGGGCCTTCTCCAAACTCCTTGGGCCTTGGTCTTTTAGGCCTTTCCTTAGGCTTATGCCCTTGGGAGCGCCTAAATGGGCCCAATGTTAGCAAGGGGCTGTTATTGCAAAAATATATACTACCAAACCTGCAATTATAAATCAGATAGTGTTTTAAAATAGAAAAAAGGAAATCCATTGGAAAGGAAATTAACTTGGGTCTTTTAAGATTGAGGACGAGTTCATTTTTAGGGTACTTCATGATCGATTAACGGAAATTCGGGCTCACAAACGAAACAGTTCATATCATTAATCACTCTGTAAGGATAATCTATGCAAATATGAAATCATTTCGTCATCGTACTATATAAAAACATGGATGAATCCGATAAAAGAACTAGTAACCGCGTATCTATTTGCTATAGTTAATTGACTAATAACTTTGTTTTAAATTGATTTTTGAAAAAATGATATTTACAAAATGATTTATAATATGAACATGTTCTGATTATAAAAATAAGGTTCTTTAAATCAGTCACAAAATATCTTGATAAGGAGTTCCTCCTCAATCTTAAGAGCAACTCCAGTGTTGGAGCCCTCCCCCTCTGGCAATACACTATTCAATCCACCTAATGAACAGTAATTGCCCTTAATGAACAGTAAGTAGCCCTGGCAATAGATTTTGCATCTCCACCGTTACACTTCTATAGCCCTGGCAATAGGCAATAAAAAATTAGTATTTTTGTTATTTATAAAATTAATACAAAATAATTTTAAATGTAATATCGGATAAGATTTTTAATCGTTCTCGTTGCGCCACGTGTCATTATCCTAAGTATTATTAAATAATACAAAATAATACAATTATTGGTGATGGATTTCTGATAAGATTATTAACCAATCACGTCGCGCCACGTGTCATAATCGGTTCACAATCTTTGAGGATAGATTTCCATCAGATTTTAAACGAATGACGGCATGCCACGTGTCATAATCTGTTAACAATCTTTGATGATAGATTTCCATCAGATTTTTAAAGAATGACGGCATGCCACGTGGCATTATGCAGAACCTAATCCTTTCTGAATCCTCTATATAATCCACCATCCATCTTCACAAATCTCACACCAAAATTCTCAAGATCTCTATCATTATTCATACTTTCTGCTTCCTTATTCACAAAAATCAGTATCAATATTCATAGTTTCTGTTTCTTTCTTTCAATGTCTTCTTCTTCTTCCTCAAGGATGATGTGGGAATTGAATCAGGAAGAGGAAGACTTGTTTAACCAATCAGAATCAATGTTCAATCACCAGGGGGTAAGAAATGAGAGGGAAGAAGATGAGGAGCGTCAAATGAGAGATGACGAAGTAAGAAGGGGCAGAGCCTCACATTCCCGTCGAGACATCCAAGCTGCGGCTCAAATCTGCAGGCCCAGCCGTTCCGGAAACCTTGATAGAAGCAGACAACGACGAGGTATGGAACTCTTGGATGATTATTTTGTTCCTAATAGTGCATTCCCTGATACGTACTTTAGACGTCGTTTTAGAATGGAACGACATTTGTTCAACAAAATCATGATTGCTGTTTGCAACCATGATTCTTATTTTGTGCAAAAAAAAGATGCTTTTGGTGCTATGGGTCTACTGCCGGAGCAAAAAATTACTGCTGCCTTGCAGATGCTTGCATATGGAGCATCTGCAGACCAAGTGGATGAGATAACGAGGATGGGGCAATCAACCATTTTTGAGTCCCTGATGAGGTTTTGCGGAGCAATCGAATCTATCTACACCGCTGAGTACCTCCGCAAACCCACACACATGGACTTGGAGCGGCTGTTGAAGAAGGCGGAGATGCGTGGCTTTCCTGGGATGATTGGAACCATTGATTGTATGCACTGGACGTGGAAAAACTGTCCAAGTGCATGACAAGGCGCTTACGGGGACAGAAAAGGGGCAAAAAGTATCATTCTGGAGGCGGTGGCAACTTTTAATACATGGATTTGGCACGCCTTTTTCGGGGTCCCGGGAGCTCAAAATGACATCAACGTCCTTGCCCAATCCCCAGTGTTCAACGATGTCCTGCAAGGAAAGGCACCAAAAGTTACATATGAGGTCAACGGACGTATGTACGATGGGCCATACTACCTAGCTAACGGCATCTACCCGCGCTGGTCAACATTTGTCAAAACAGTGCCACGTCCGCGGAGTGCGAAGGAAAAACACTTTGCAAGCTGTCAAGAGGGGTGCAGGAAGGATGTGGAGCGTTGTTTTGGTATCCTCCAAGCTCGCTGGGCGATCGTCAGGGGTGCTGCCAGATTGTTTGATGTAGAGTCGCTTCGATCCATCATGATGACGTGCATCATTCTTCACAACATGATTGTGGAAGATGAGTACAATTATGAAGCTGTTGATGAATATGAGCCAGACCCGATGAACAATTCAAGAACACGTATATATTGTGCTCATGACGCCACCGATGAGCCCGTGCAACATAAGCCATTACAAAGGGATGGACGTTACAATGAAAGGCTCATTCAACGATATACTGCATTTCAAATGCCAGACATGCACAATGCCCGACAAATTGACTTGATAGAGCACCAGTGGGCATTGAAACAAGCTGAAGATAATTAAGTTCATTTTAGTGTGTTATTTTTAATTTGGTATGTTTATGTTATTTTATTTGGTGTGTTTTATTATTTGGTATGTTTATGTAATTTTTTTATGTTTATGTTTATGTAATTCTTAGTATATGTAATTCTTAGTATGTTTATGTTTATGTAATTCTTTTAGTAATTCTTAGTAAAAACAATTTTTTTTACAATTTTTTTCAGATTTTTCAGATATTTTTTTGAATTTTTTTGAATTTTTTACAATTTTTTTTTTTAATTTTTATCCAATTAATTAATCTCTGCCGTTGGATATAAAAAAATTTGAATTCCAACGCTCCAGATTGTGCCACGTGTCACAACGGTAACTTTTCAGATTTTTTAAACTATTTTTTAATTTATAAAGCATTTTAATATCCACCGTTGATCTCAGATCGAACGGTGGATATTAAATCTGACACTTTTTTTTTTTTACCATTGAGATCTAACGATCCACTTTAAGTGACCGTTAGGATCTAACGCACCGTGGGAAGCCATGTGGCTTCCCAACGGTAACTGACAAAACCCTTTTTTTTTTTCTGATTATTGTGTCGGGACGCGCCCCCACGCGCGGGTGGGGTGCACGCGCCTGACACAAAAAAAATTAAATAATATGCTGACGCCACCCTGGCGTCAGCATGGCGTCATCCCCACCTCGGGCTCAAGGCCTGGCAATCCCTCACGGGCCTAGCCCTCGGGCCTCCCCCATCCACCGGGCTGCCTCACGCTGGAGGCCAACCACCGGCCCTCGGGCCTTTGTTTTGGAGACTGTCCCCCGAGCAATTTGCTACGGTGGGAATGCTCTAAGGAGCCAAGCCTTTTTATTGGAAATTCAAAACATTTTCCATGTTCACATTCCATGCAAATCATATCAATCAGACCCCCAATGCCATCATCATTCTGTATGTTCCCTCTTTCGCCGCGTTAGCCGATCCCCAAATTAAAACAACGACATGGCTCAATCAGACTGTACCTTCGTGAATCAGGATGATTTAGGAATCAAATTACCATTTGGGAATGATTTAACAGTCAAAAGACTACATATCAATGATCAAGTAGGATCAAACTAGAATCAAAACACATTAATGAGTAGGGATCAAATCAACAATTGCAGAAACCCCTACAAAGTATAATATTAAACAACATTTTCCCCATTGGAAAATGATCCTTTTCCTAAGGATCTAAGAGATTCTGTGATTGTTTCATCGTGCAGTCAGAAATTATTTCAAAATTTAAACGAAAGAAAAAAAAAAAAAAAAAAAAAGCAAAAACAAGACAAATCCAAAAAAAAAAAAGGGAACTTTAACGAAAAGTTTCCGGTACTGTTTATTTTAACCAAAAAAATATATTTTTACACTAAAAAATCAATCATGATACTATTTATTTTACGCTTTATTTTGTCTTCATCTTTAAAACTCAAAAATTTCAAATTATTTGATTAATTTTCTTGAAAAAATAAAAAATAAAAAGGGAAAAAACAATGGAAAAAGGAGGGGAGAGAGAGAGAAGGCAAGTAGCCAGAACAGCAGAAAACTGCAAAAACATCAGAAAACAGCAAGCAGCAAAAACAATAAAGCAAAAGAGGATTTACTTGAACAAGAGAGTTTTTGAAAGCAAGGTTTTGAATTCGATTTCTATGAATCCTCACAAAACGGAAGATCTCTTCCACCATCACTTCCACCACCACCACCACCAACACCAACACCACCTCAGCCACCATGATCTGGGCCCACCTCCCCACCAGATCATGGAATCCCCGCCCTCCATTTCACTCCCTGCAGACGACGTCGTCTTCCCACTACCCCCGGAAATCGACCTCTTCCGCTCCCCCTCCTCCTCCCCCTCCCACTCCTCCGACGAAAACGACGACGTCTCAAACCCTAACCCCAAATCCGAACCCAAATCCCAGCCCATCTACATCTCCCCGGAGCCCCACATCTCCTCCCAGTTCTACACCTTCAACCCGGATTCCCATTCCCTCATGATCAGGTGCATCCTCGACTCCCGCCTCGCCACCCCGGTCGAGATCCGCGCCGCCACGCCCCGCCCCGTCCTCAAGTCCTGGCGCGCCGTCTGGAAGGACCGCAACGAGGACACCGCCTACGTCACCGCCTGGAAGCGCATCCAGGACAAACTCGCCGCCCACGTCGACCAAAACGGTAACGAATTCTTGTGCTTCAAGAACAATAACCAGCAATTCGTTTCTCACATTAATCAGTGGCAAGACATTGTTATGAGTTTCCATAGCGATGCCGATTTGAAACACTTAGGGTTGAAGGAAACCATTGATAGGATTAAGCAGGTTTGGACTGTAGGTGCTAAGTTTTATGGAATTCCTGAGAGTTACATTAGGGTTTGTGTTGCTGCATGCACCATTTGCTCCACGGATAATTCGGGGCTCGCAGGGAGGGGCAAACGCCGGCGGTTTGAGTATACTGAGTCTTTTGATGTGCCTGCTAAAGAGGTGCCCACTAGGCTTCAGCAGTTGGCTGCTAAGCATAAGGTGGTTCTTTGTATAAGGCAGAAGTATATCAGGTATAAGCCCTTTATGGCGGAGGTTAAGGACTATGCTTGTCATAGGGCCGGGGAGCCCGCTGCTAAGAAGTCCAAGATTTTGAAGAGGGAACCATATGCTTCGAAGAGGTGCGGCTGTGGGTTTCGGATTAGGGCCATTGTTCCAATTACAAATTACAATGAGAAGGACAAGACTTTTGTGTATCAGGAAGAGGGGGTGGCAGTGTTTAAGCTGTATGCTGTGCATTCAGGGCATGAGCCAGGTCCATTGGACGGGAATGCAAGGATTATGCATCGGGTTGTGGGGCACAAAGGTGGGATTTTTATGGATCAGGATACTGTGTATGGGGTCAGTGAGGAATTGGACAATGATGGGTTTGGATTGTTCGGAAAGGATGAGGGGGACATGCAGTTGTTAGTCATGCAGCAGGTGCAGGAATTGAGAGCTGAAGTTGGGCTTTTAGAAGAGAAAATTGTGAAAATGCCACAAGAGCTTTTGGGTTCAGTGTCTCGAGATTTGTTTGATCTTGTCAATAAAGTTAGACAAGTAGGAGAGGAGAGTTCAAAGCCAATGGATTTGCTACAGGATAAGACACTTGCAGGTGATATTTTGGTTGGGGATAATGATTTGGCCCATTGGAGTGATCACCATCACGAACGTTTATATGGAGATGGCAAGGACACTGATCTGATTGAGGATGATGAAGACAGTTTTGGGCGAACTCTTGGGGATGGTGTCCCTTGGGAGCAGCTGAGGGAAGACTGTAGGAGTCCGAAAGATCTGATCAGTGACCCTTGTAAGCCCGAAAAGTGGTTGAAGTGCAGTGAATTTGATGAGAAGAGCATGCTTGATTGCGAGGATACGAAACTAACCAAGTCCTTAAGACATGATGAGGGTATAGGGGCAGATGTTGGTCTTGTTGGTATACAGGTCGATAGCTTCTATCAAGCAAATTCGAAATGGTTTGATTCTCCTTGTGGGTTGGACCCAGCTGCCGATTGTGGGGATAATACGTTCAGGAATGAGGAGATTGTTTAGTCCCTTGAAGAGCTGGTTAAGCCTTTCTAACATAATTATGGGTGTATATTGTCCCTTTCTCGAGCTGGAAGTGACTTGTACATTTATGTATACAGAAGACTGGAGCCTCAGACAGAATCGTAGGTTCCTTTACTTTGTGTTGTTCTGTAAAGTATAGCCGATTGGGCTTCTCTGCACATAACTATTTGTTAACCATGTTCTGGGTATTCATAATTTTCAGATTGGTTTTATAGTGCGTATCGGGTAGGACATCGATAATTTTTCTTGAAGTTCTGTATGCTCAATGTAATCGTTTTCGACTTCTGTTATAGAATTTTTCATTCTCTGCAGTGTGCCTCTCTCTCTCTCTCTCTCTCTCTCTCTCTTTTTGTGGTGTTTATAGTCCTCTGAATCTGAAAGCTCCACATCCAGTCACCTTACATGCTTCTGTTGTTATAGAAATTTTCATATATTTTGATTAATGGTTTGAACATGTTCAATTACTTGTTAGTGCTGGATGGTTCTTGATCATTACTGCCTTGGCTTGCATCATATAACTGCTGTCTGCTAGGTGGCCCATGGATTATGCCTTCAGTTTCTGATTGAAAAGGAAAATAAAAGCTCGTGTTTCTTCTTTGGTGGAGTGGACTAAAATAAGAGTAGATTTGGTATCTATTTGGTCAACAACGGTATTCTGGAAGGACCCTTGAATGTCTTGTTTCTAGTGAAAATTTCAGACAACAGTTTAATTAAACAAGAGAGGTTAAAGTAGATGTTAAAAATGTTATCTAGACATATAACAGTAACAAATGATGTGTCATTTACTTCAAACGAGATGACGTGGACATGGAGATGTCAAAAATTGACATAGGCGTCAAATAAGGATTTGCTATTTTCAAGGGCATTCCAATTGCCTTAGCATAAATACTCGCATATTTCAATATTATTTGATTACTTTTATTATTTTTGTTTAAAAAAATATAAATGAAGTAATAAATTTTGGCATATCTGATGAAAGAAAATATTGACAATATGTCAAATTGTCAAGTCAACCATCAAATTGAAATATGATGTTTTGAATTTGACATCTCCTTTGGAGATGCTCTAAGGAATGATGGTTAGAAAAAACAACACTATTGTTTTCCAATCGAAATGCCAATTTCTATGTGGCATGATATGGAATGGCACCAGATGGAGTTGCTGCCAAATTCGACAACAGTTTCAAATTTATTTTTAGGGCATAATTAATGCTTTTTATAATTTTTGTTATTATCTTTTGTTTTAAAATTATTAATTACAATTATAAAAAGTAAAGGGAATTGTTATTAGTATTCCAAAAATCTCATTTGGCACTCTAAACTTTCTATAATTAGAAAGAAGAATACACTTATGAGGAGTGTAAAATAAGATTTTTGAAGTGCTAATAACAATTCCCAAAGTAAATAATGCAATAATAGTTTAAATTTAACATATCGGGTGGAGAACCAAATTTATAAAAAGATCAATGTGCCACATAAGTCTTTAGATTACAATTTTGTGTTTAAAATTTGGCATCTCCTTTAGAGATGGTCTTACAGTATTAAGAAAGGTATGTATTCAATTTAGTTGGGATTATCACAGGAACCAATTTCCTATTAAACTTAAATATGTCGCACTAGGGGTGGGCACGGGCCGGGCCCAATTGTGGAGGGACTGGACTGGACCTGGGTGCAAAAGAGACGGGCTGGGTCGGGGATAAAAGATTCTAATATAGGAACCGGACCTAACCCGGTCTAGTTGAAACGGGCTGGATTGAGTCAGGTCCATGGGTCCTTGGTTTTTTTTTTTTTTGTTATATATATAAACTAACATTTGTATAGATTTAAATTCATTCCCAGCGGTTCGCATTTACACATATTTTACTATCAGATATCAGTGCAGTGCAGATTTTGCACTACTCCCTCCACAGATCACATCCAATCCAAATACAAAGTCCAACATCTAAGTTCATAGATTAACGGCATTACATCATCTAACATTGTTCGATTCATTAAATTCGAGACATTCAAAATAACATTCATATCCATTTGCCCCCTGAAAAGTCAAAAGAATGGAGTGAATACCTTGAACTCACAGTAGCGTCAAGAAACTTCTATATTTCATCAATATCATTTGATGTTAAAGTTGTGGCAAACTGAAAAAAACCCTGAATAAGAAGAATGGTCAAAAACTCATTGTAATCAACATAGACTTATGGTACTATTAAGTAAGATGACACCTTGTTCTGTCTTTCTTGCACTTTTTTTTCATTAAAGTTGCAAACTTGTGTATGAAATAATACTGTTGATGCCCCAAGGCATCATCAACCAAGACTAATAAACTACCAGAAAAAAAGGATGAAAAGAAACAGCACAGTTGGCACCCAAACTAATACAAAGATATTGAATAACAAGAAACAGCACAACTTACATTTTTAAGAGCTTACATTCCTAACAACTTACATTTCTAACAAGAAGTTGAATAACAATGGTAACAGCTTACATTCCTAATTAAAACTTGAAATCAATTGATTTTAAAACAAAATTTGATAAAGCAGAGAAGAAAATGGGGGTTTGGTTTTTACCTATGAGACTGAGTATCAGATTCAGATCCTTAAAATGCTGGCACTAATCACATAAAATTGACCTAATCTGGTAATTAGTTAGCACAATAAACACAATAAGTGATTCAAATCACAACGAAATGTCGAAAAACAACTAAATCAAACTTGATCCACATAATATTTAGGAATTTAACACCCGAAATAAAGCAAAAAACTCAAAATGTAGATCAATTATATACACAGAGGTTGGTTTTTACCTGTGAGACTGAGAGAGAGGTGAAAAATCGAGAAGATTGGTGGTGGGGTGACAAGGTTCTGTAAGTCTGGGATGTCGTCAAAGTTGATGGGCCATCGTGGTGGTCACCAGGGCTGTCAAGATGTCGGGGTGGTGGAAGGGAGGAGACGATGCACTCGAGACAGCAAGAGAGAGGTGACAAATCGAGAAGATGGTGGTCGCTAGGACCGTCGTGATGTCGGGGTGGTAGAGGGAAGAGGACGACGCACTCGAGATGGCGAGTACATTCCAAAGTACATGGTATCTAAGTTGGCTATAAAACTTAAATTGCTTTCAAAATATCAAGTTTCTATGGATAAAATATGTTTGGAAACAAATCCATACTGTTTTGGTAAAATATCATTCAACAGGGTATTGAAATTTTAGAGCAGTGAATTTCATATCCAGCTTAGATATACTGTATTTAGTCATTTCAAATTCAACTCAAACATATTTTGCATTTTATTTACGGGTTTTTTTTTTTTTTTTCCATATAATCAACACACTTCTATGAAAGAAAAAGTTGGTAGTCTATTTGGGTTATAGAAGAGCTCAGAAGTGATTGTTTTATTCAGAAAGCACTTGAAATTTGAAACAAAATTTGGACTTGCCTGTAGTTAAAGTGATTCTTATAAGCGTGATGATGAGCAAAAGTTCTCCCTAGAAAAACATTTCTAAACGAGTATGTCTTTTCAAAACTTCAATTAATAATCGTAATGGTACCTACCCCAATTTTTACTCTAATATGTCACTGTCATACTATTAAGCTAGTTGTTTTTTCTTATATTTTTAAAAATGATCAGCTAGTGGCTTTACCACAGTAGTTCGCCATTTCGGGAGTTGGGAAGACTCACAGAGGCATTTCAGCTTCCCCTTAACAACGATCGTGTGATATACCAATGACAAGAATCGAACCCAGAATATGATATATAAAGTACAACTTTGAAATTCGTTCCAAACACTGGACCATCATGTAGTAGTCAACTAGTTATTTTTTTCTTGTTGAACTAGCATATTACTTGCCACATCATTTTGAATTAAAGTTTTTAAATAATAGTTGTTGTCATAGCACTACTATTAAATTGAATTAGTTGCAAGAATAATATAAATATAGATACAACGCTTCAAAGTTGAATTTGGACTGGCTCATCCGTCTTCAATTTTTTATTTTTAAATCCAGAACATCCAAGTTGGATATGCAGTCAGCTGCTTTCTATGTATTGAAGGTCCGATAGCATTTGAGATATGAGCTATACTTTGGAAATCCAAGGGAGCTGGTTTCCACACGTCCTTCTAACATATATATATTTTTTTTCAGACATCAGATTAAATATAGGATTAATCTTCCATTACCATACTGAAAATTAAGAAACTTCACAATAATAAAGTGAAATTAATCCTTAAATATATTAAATAAAAACAACAAACATGATTAAAAATAGATATATAGGAGAAAAAAAATGTGTGTTTCTCATTTGTCAAATCTAAATCGATTCTTGATCAAAACAAAACAAAAAGAAAAATGTGGCTTAATTCGAAACCAAATTAGTGGGTTATCAAATTACAACCTACAAACAACTAAAATCATGAGCCTGCCAATATTCCTAAGAGAAACAAGTGTCTTACTTCAAATTGGGCCGAATAGACAATTGGCAAAGTGGCTGAACCAATCTATGGTGGATGGCAACTAACATGTTAGTTATTTATCGTGGGAAATTTGATTGAAAGATGATATGATAATTATAGCTACAAATCTTTAATTTTTAATTAATTAATTAATTAGTAGAGATTAGAAAGTTAGAAGCACACTTTGGTATTTCAAGGCTTCATCAAAAATAATTGGACTGAAAAGCCCCTAAAACAAAAAATTTCAAACTAATCGAATTTGATACATGAAAAAATACAAGGGCAATTCTGTAAAAATGATCAAATTTAAAATTCATTTTATTAAAAGAAAAAAAATGAAAGGCGTGCTGGACTGAGGAGATATTCATTCCCCATTGTGCTTTGGCAGTTAACATAGAACACTCCAACACCCAACGCCCTGCGATCATAACGAGACCGTACTTCACCATGATCGTCCTTCTCCTTCATCCACATTCTGCATTGACAGTTCACAAATCTCACCTCCAACACCTTTCATATTTGCAAGCAAAACAGTAAAAAAACAGGAATAGATAGGAAAATATAGAAAAAAGGGGTAAAAACCGAGGACCTTTTTCGACGTCAACTGCCCACACGCCAGTTTCTCAGTCATTAACTGTACATCGACAGTTTGTTTGTGGTTGTGCAAAAATCAATGAGAAGGAGAATAAGGGCGAGGCGGAGGGATAAACAAATCGCCAAAGAGTCTTCCACGGTACAACTTAATTTTTTTATTTCTCAATCTCAATGTTTTGGGTATACAAAGAGCGAAACAAGGAGAAGAGAATGAAGGCGAGGCTGCGGATAAAACAGTCTTTGGCACAACTTCTTACCATCTTCAAAGAAGATGTCAAATTTTAAACCTAAAATTTAAATTTGAAGGCTTACGTGGCACTTTGACATCTTTTAAACTTTTACTCTCCAACCGATATGTCAAATTTTAAACATAAAATAATAATTCATATGTATTTTCTTTGCATTGAGAATGAAAATAAACAAAAGGTTAATGCTTTAAACCAATAAAAAAATTAATAAAAAGCATTTAATAATTAATTAAAAAAATCTGAAGGTGCTATCAAATTTGGCAAGGGGGAGAGATGTTAATCCATGTCATCTTACATTAAATTTGGCTTCTCGGTTGGAAAACATTAATGATATCTTTTGTTACCGTTATTGCTGATTTGAACAATTTGATATCTCATTTGAAGATGCTCGTAACTCTCAATCTACATCTTTTATTCTCAATTCTCAATCTCAATCTTTTTCCTCCTGTCATACTAATATTTTTGGTTTGTATATCTTTAGATTAATTCAAAAGATTGTCTATGTTCCTCCTGTCCATGAGTTTATTTTAATTAATTTAGTACAAATTTTCATTTTTGGTTTTTGGGTAATTAAAAGTTTGAAGCTTTGTTATTTGTATAATTAGTTTTGAAGTTGGTTTCACAGGGAAAATACGAAAGAAGAAGGAAGATAAATAGCAAAAGAGGAGGGAAGACAAATACTGTTGAGTCATCCTTTTCTGTTTTGGGTTACATATCTTCGTCCCTTTTCGATTTTCCTACTGTCCATTTTTTCAGAATATAGGGAGAATCAAATGTATACACTTTAATGCATATTGTTGAAATGAGTGAAAATGAGTCACTAGCTGTATGTCAATTTGAGTTGCTCTATGAATTGTTATGTTTACTCGATGATGCAGAAAACTGTTGAGTGTAGAAGCAAGTTGCGAAACTTGACCTTGAGCTGACTGTAGAGGAGAGGAATCTTCTTTCTGTGGGATACAAAAATGCCATAGGTGCTCGACAGCCTTCTTGGCGCATCATGTCTTCCATTCAGAGAAAGGAAAAGTATAACGGAAATGAGCATATGTCAAACTGATCAAGGGTTACCGGTGAAGGCAGAGGAAATCTCAAACATTTGCGAGGCCGCTGTTTTTTACTGCAAGATGTGAGTCACATTTTTCCCTAATGGTTTACTCCAATGAATTTGATCTCTTGTGCTTATTTAATTGTATGCATGGAATATATTCCAAAAGGGAAAAATTGCATATAGGTTTAAAGAAATTGGGTTCATTGCCATTTCGTTGTCAGATAGTCATTTCCAAAGTTGTTTTTTTTTCGTTGTTGCTTCTTAATACAAATGCAGAATAAACAAGAAGGAAGAGGGAAAGTTTTGATTCATCATTTTCTTCTGAGTGAGTTAGTTTGATCATTTTCCTACGGTTTAGTCTCTCCTCCTGCAGAAATTCAAAACCATATTTTACGTACAACGTTTTCAAGAAATTCACAGAAGAGAGATAGAAATGGACATAGTAGTACAAACCTCAGGTCAACTGGCCTCGATCCTCTGGATTCCCTCATGATCTTCGCTGAAATCAACATCGGAGCCATTTTTTATGTGCGCCGTTTATATTTTTGGTTTTATGCAGTTTTCTCTCTTTCTATTAATATCCACACAATTATGATTGATTTTTCAGATATTCAAATGCAGGAACAAAGAAAAAAGAAGGACGACAAGAAAGTCCTCTTCGTGTTAGTTTTCTTTTGCAGGAAAACCCATTTCGTGTTAGTTTTCTTTTGCTTTATATCATTTCTTTCAGCAAATGCAAAATCCTATAAGATTAGGTGCTCTGTGTAATAGCCAAGTTATTAATCCAGCCATTACTTTTAATCTCCAATAGTCACAATTAATTTTAACCTAAACGAGCTCTCTCTAAGGTTCCTCTCAACAAAACTTCCTGGGATTGTATTCAAAATCAATAATGAATGCAATTCATCCAGTGAAACTTAAAAGTAATGGCAAATTGGCTATTATATCCGAAATCAAATCTCATACGAGATTGCATTTGGTTCTGCAGTGGTTGTACATTTTTCTTCATGATTTTGGCCAAAAGGTTGTTTGTTATCACGGTACCAAAAAAAAAAAAAAAAAAAAAAAAAAAAAAACCAAGCTGCCTGCTTTTAGTTTGATGGACTACCAAGACTCTTATCTCTACCTTTGCAATTGCATCTTTGTTGTGAATCTAATCTGATTTTTATTCTTCTCTTTTGCAGTTTATTGATAGAGGCCGACAATACCAATCTCCATTGGGACAAACAAACATTTTGCATTCTTTAGAAGAAAAAAAAAAAAGTGTTGTACGAATGATAAACAGAGACAAACGCGGCAATTAATAAATGAATCACAACGACTACAAGGTTCAATCCGTCACCTTGCCTATTATCAAACCCAGTTGAACACGGAAAATGTATATGTACAAGATCCATAGGGGCGTGTAGCACCCGTCAGAGACAAAAACAACAATTAATAAATGAATCGCAGCGACTATAAGGTTCAACCCGTGCCCTTGCCTATTATCAAACTTAGTTGAACGTGAAAAATGTATATGTACAAGTAGCGCCCATCAGAGACAAAAGCGAACAATTAATAAATGAATCATAGCGACTATAATATCACATACCGGCCTGGGGGGGACCACTTCCCAGGCCCGCTCCACCACCGTAGCACAATATTGTCCGTTTTGGGCCTCGACCATGCCCTCACGGTTTTGTTTCTGGGAACTCACACGAGAACTTCCCAATGGGTCACCCATCCTGGGAGTGCTCTCGAGCGCTACTCACTTAACTTTGGAGTTCCCATGGAACCCGAAACCAGTGAGCTCCCAAAAAGCCTTGTGCTAGGTAGAGATAGGAATATACATTTAAGGATCACTCCCCTAGGCGATGTGGGATGTTACAATCCACCCCCCTTAGGGGCCCGACGTCCTTGTTGGCACACCACGACCAGGGTTAGGCTCTGATACTAAATTGTCACATCCCGGCTTAGGGCGGATCACTTCCCGGGCCCGCTTCCCCACCGTAGCACGATATTGTCCGCTTTGGGCCCCTACCACGCCCTCACGGTTTTGTTTCTAGGAACTCACACGAGAACTTCCCAATGGGTCACCCATCCTGGGAGTGCTCTTGCGTGCTACTCGCTTAACTTCGAAGTTCCCATGGAACCAGAAGCCAGTGAGCTCCCAAAATGCCTCGTGCTAGGTAGGGATGAGAATATACATTTAAGGATTACTCCCCTGGGTGATGTGGGATGTTACAATAAGATTCAACCCGTCGCCTTGCCTATTATCGAACCCTATTGAACACAAAAAAAGGTATACGTACAAGATCTATAGGGCGCCCGTGATTAAAAAAAAGCCTTTTTGCGCATGCAGGAAAGTTAGTTATATTATTAAGCCTACAAACTAATGAAATTATTTTAACATGTTCATAGATAAAATTGTTATCTTTCCTGATAGTAATATAATTTTACTATTTTTTTTCAAAGCCTTATAGCCAAAAATCATATCATTACCCTAATTTTTTCTTCCCCGTTTTTTTTTTCCAAAAAAAAAAAAAAAAACTTTTGGTTGTTATGTTTTTTTTTTTTTAATTTTTTTTGAACAAATAATATTATTTATACTAAGGGTGTGGAAGAGTGTGTTAAGCCTCACAATGGGTTAACAATAATGTGGTTCAAGTTCGTCTTTAGTGAGAATCGAACTTAAGACCTCTCACTTACAAGTGAAGAGGATTATCATTAGAACGTAGTATAAAATGACAAAGGTTAAGAAAGCAAAAAAGAAAATGGAGTTTTACAGAGATTTAGGTACACAGAATCAAGTAAATGATGACAAAATGAAGAAGCTGCATGAATGAGAATAGAATTTCAGAGAGTTGTAGAGAGAGAATCTCTCATTTTACAACTTTCAATCCTAACCATTTATCTAATCAGCCTATGAGCTTTAGACATCTGGCAGCTCCATTTAACAAACTAAAACATAACAAACATTTTTCTACCTTGCATATAAGCCAAGGTATTAAACAGAAATCATTTCAACATTTATAATTCAACAGTAGTGACGAAATAGTTATCCAGAAACAATTGTTAAAGGTATGAACAATCTATTCAGGGACGAAATCGTTTGAAGTTCATCACCAAAAACCTTTAGCAACCATTTTATATTCAATCTTTATAAATTTTATTTTTAAAGTTTCAATAAGCAGATGCACAGCATGTTGACAATTGATAGTTATGAATAAAGATGGTTACTTGACAAAGTGGAACTTGGGCTCCATTTAAACAATAGAATTTGAAAGAAGCTCGTAACACGATTAAGAATATTCCTCCTTGCACCAGCGGCCCTAGAGCAGTACCAATATTGTGATAATGTGACATGTTAAAATAAGCATTTAGAAGTGTTTTCAAAAAAAAAGAAAAAAAAAAAAAAGAAGAAGCATTTAGAAGTGGTAGTCACATACAAATTCCCTACAATCTGTTGAGTTTGTGGCCAAACTTTTAAAGTGGACTAACACAAACATCCACTTGCCAAAATACATGAAGCACGAATCGCAATGAAATCAATTAACTGAAACCCATGCCTGGTTTGTTGCAAGAAAGCTACAGAACAAAGTAATGTGTGCGTGCACGGGGTTGGCATTTTTAAATCTCCAAAACAGTACAATTCATTTGATACGTCAGGAGCCACAAAATCTTTGCTTGCAAAAGCCAGCCATAACGCAAGTACAATGGACAAGAATATTGATCAGATGTGACCAGTTGGAAAGAGTTAGAAATTTTGATGATGAGAACCGGAAGACTTGTTCAACCTTACTCCTGGCAAGTACCGGCAGACGAACTCTCGAGCCAGTGCTTGCAGATTTTCACCATCAATGAGTTCTTGATCCTCTGTGTTGAAGAGGCTTGACATTTCAGATGATGTATTTGGTGCTTGGAGAGGATCACAATGCGTCAATATGTTGGGAGTTGGTACCATATCTGAGGACGATGACGATGTCACATTAATATTGGACGAGGAATACTGAAGGCTTCTGGTGGACGGAGGGATTTCGAGCTGAGGTGGTTGTGGCGGCAGCGGAAAACGCTGCAAGGTGCCAAGACGGGCATGAACATAGGCTAACTCTGCTTGCAAATTCACTACCTACCAACCATAAATACGAGAGATTAAGTATAGTTTCTTCTTTCATGGTAATTGTTACATAAATAGAAAATGCAGACGTTATTAGTATGAGATAGATAGCTAGTCTATGCCATATAATAATGAAGCAAAATTTGTTAATTTTTCTTTTGTAATTATATATGTAAAAACAGATATATGATGATATTAGCTAGGTCAAGGTGCAAAGGTTACGTGTTTGATATATTTATATCTTAATTAGAATTGTGTGATGTTGAAACATTGTCAGTGGTAACGATTATTTTTTTATGTTGCAACCCACGATTGAATTGCTTAGTACTATTATACAATGTATACACTGAAGCATAAACTCGTCATCCATCATTATTATAACATAAGAACAGGTTATATGATTGATATGTATATAAAGTATGCCTTTGCAGCTCTAATTTCATCCATTTCATGCGAGGTTCTAAAAGACGTTAAACGTTAGTCGAGCGGTAGGCTGGAGCCTAGTGCCTAGGCGTCTAGGTGGGCGCCTAGGTAGACTAGGCAGATTTAAGTAAATCCATTATATTTCGTGTAAATCAGTGTCTGTTTATACTTAAAATATATATAATTTCATCATAAACTACAAAATAGAATGCCATATGTATTATGAAGTATTGGAACATAATGAAAACATGGGAAACAAGCATATAGTGTGTGCTTATTTAAGTATTCAACAAGTCTCTTACAATTTATTGAAAAAAATTAAATGCAAATTGAAAGTTATCTATTTTTTGTCTAAGTGAGGCGCTATATAGGTAGGTGCCTAGGCGGGTCTAGGTGGGCCAGGCGGGTGCCTAGGCGCTTTATGTGGACTGGTCTAGGCGCCCTTTCTTAATTTTCGAACTCCTAGGCATTAATCGGGACGATGACTAGCCGCCTAGCGTCTAGACGGGAATTTTTAGAACATTGCTTTCATGTGTAGTCAACCTTACCCAACAGTAGAGGTTTAAGGAATTCTACCAAACCCAAAAGCTAAAGATTACAAAGCTAGCTAGAAATGGCCTTGACGTGTGGAAACTAGAAATCTGATTTTTGTATTGTAGAATTTTTATATGGACAACTTGATACACACACACACACACACTTGCATACCATTACACATATATAGTTACCATATATAATATATAACATCTAACTAATACCCTTTCAGAAAAATCTAATTAATACTTATACTCATCAAGCTGAATAAGACTTTATAGTGTACCATTCCTACGTACAAGCAAACGGTTGTCACCACGTCAAAGCAAAATATGTTATATATAATGCAAAAAAATCATGAAAATAGATACCATATTGTATGTGTGTGTGTGTGTGTATATATGTATCTCACACTAACAAATCAAGCCATTATTCTTTGTGATTAAGAAAGAAAGTGTAGGTATACAGTAAATCTTAAAACTCGCATAGTTCTGTTAGGGTCCTTAATTCTCATACGTGAGAAACAATAATAATCATCTTGCTGATATAAATGCAAAACATATATATATATATATATATATATATAATTAGGATACCAATAATGTGAGAATGGTTAACAAAGTCAAAAACAGGTGTATTAAATATATCTCGAATCACTAAATATGTTTGCTTGGTAGCTCCGGCAAGCAACAGGAACCCCCAAAGTCATCCACCCAATACACCATAGCCGCCACCTCTCTCTCTCTCTCTCTCTCTCTCTCTCTCTTTTCTATGGGAAAATTTAGAAGGTTAAAAAAAGTAGAAACTCATGTTTATATACATTACGAGTTTCATAAACTTTGTATTGGAAAAGAAAGACCAATTAATAATAACAGAAGAAAAACCTTTACAATTTCTCCATATATGCTAGGTAGACTAAATTTGCAAACAAAATGATATGTCATCAATAAGAAATAAACACGTTAATCAACACTAAAAATCTAATCATCAACTTCCACATCATTTAGTTTACCAAATTTAGTCTACCTATTTAGTTTTTCTAACATTACCCTATAACAAGTGCAAGTTAGCATGGATTTCAAGCAAATTTAATTGAAAATCTAAGACGAATAACACTTCCCAGAAAATAAAGCAAAACCTAGAAAACAAAAAAGTAAAAAATTGCAAGTGATTATGCCCAGAAAACAAGCAACTCATGGCGCACGTTAGATATAGCATGGAATGGATGTCTCGAAAACTTATGAAACACGCAGTCTTGATCTAGTAGTCTTACAAATCGGAAAACTTGACAAACGTCTAAAATCACATCCGGTCATACTTGTCAAAAAAATGACAGCTAGATGGAAATACACACCAGGCGCATGCTAGTACAAATATTCACTAACCTGCACTCGACAGAGAGCTAGCAATTGCCAATTTCCCACAAAAGAAGAGTACTGCTAGTAGCTTTACTCTTTAATTATTTAGTTTTTGATACTCCAAACCAAATACTTATTCACTTTAGACCTCAATACTAGTTGTAGGTTATTAAGTGTATAAGGTGTACACCGTTGACATGATTATGTTTAGCAAATGTGTTACAATTCTAGCTTTGTGCTCGTGGCTAGGTGAACTAGAAGCTAAAATGCAGTCAATCAATCTCAAGAAAATCAGTGATAACTGATAAGTTTGCTCGTTCTAACCAGTTTCTTGAAAAACCTATAATTTAAATTAAAATTGATCTACGTAAGAAGCATGAAAAATTAAACTCAGAAAATGGTCAACAAATTTGAGCTTAAAGAGGTCAAAGAAATTAAAGAAACAAGTCAAGGATTTGAGTGCATAATTAGGTGAATATAGTTAATAGGATCACCTGCTGTTGGAGAGTGAAGATGTGAGAAGCACAGCCATAGACAGGGTCTCTAACCCTAGCAAGAGCCTCATAGCAAAGGGTGACGACAGCATCGAGCCGCTTGTGTGGTGGTATGCGCAACAGAAGCTTTGAGGCGTTGCTCGCACCAAACACTTTGTGCACCGCAGCAAAGTGCGCCGTGCCTTGCTCTGCGTCGAAGTACGGCGCAAATATGCACCCTTTTATGCACTTTCTCCTCAGGAACTTGCAAGCACCACAAGGACCGCCTCCTCCTCCATTATCATTGTTTCCATTTGATGATGATCCACTCATTTCTCTCCTCTCCCTCCCTCTCTCTCCCTCCCTCTCTCTCTCTCCCTCTCTCTCTCGCGCTATAGATTAATTAGCTGCTGCTTCTTCTCAGGCAAGTTTAATTAGTCTGTGGGGTCTGGGAGATAATATATAAAGAGGATGAGAGAGAGAGATGCAAGTATTCAGAAGAGAGTGAGAGGGGGTTGGGTTTGATTTCTACATTCATTTATTGATAAAAACCGTGGAAGCTTTGGTGGTGGCTGGTGGGTCACTAGAAAGGACTGGTGGTTCCATTTTTATTTGGATAATGCTTACGTTCTTTATTGGGGATGAGTTCATTTTACTAATTGCAAATAATGTGTGTACTTTTATCGTAAAAATTTCATAATCAGAACTGTTCAATTTCTTAATTTTAGTTTGAAAATCATCCTTACAAAAAATTCCTACGAAAAATCATGCGAATCGCATATTGTTTAGTCATTTAAATGTATGAAATAAATCAACGGTTCATTATGAATATGCTATTTGGGTATCTACACTGTTAGTTTATTTAATACATTTGGATGACTCGATGATATCTAAATCGAATGATTTTTTGTCAAGATGGTCTTTAAATGAAGATTAAGTATTTGAATGGTTCCGATTATATTTTTATGATAAAAATACGTTATTTGTAAATGAGAGAGTAAGCTCATCTCCGATTCAAGCATAATCCTTTTAATTTCCAGCAGTTATATTTTTGCTGTGCAGCCAAGTAAAACAAAACAAACACAACTGTCACGTCAATATTTTGTATGATGAGTTAGTGATGATATAAGCCAGAGCCAGTAACATATTCATATCAGAAGTTTCCAAAAACACATTGTAGCTAACTTAATACGGCATAAATCACCTATTAAACTTGTTTTAGAATATAATTTCACTATCCAAACAACTTATCACAGGTACCAAAGTCTGGCAAAGTGGAAATGATCACTTTGAAGATAAACATCCACTAGCTACTGATATCCAATTGTCCATATTTAAATGTGTTTATAGAGACAGATGACTGTGGGGCCTAAATTCCTAAGAACAATGTAACTACAATTTTGTCATCTAAGAACACAGTAAATGTCATTTCTGATTTTTGAACTTAGTGTAGTCATCTGAGAACAAAGTAAATTTGGTCAACTGAGTGTCAAATAGCGACTCAGTTTTCAATTTTAATGATCTTTTTTCTCATTTAAATCTTCGAAAGAAAAGGATGGATCAAACTAAGCCTAAAGCTCACGAATTTGAGTTGATTAATGCCTGACATGAGCTTAAGTATAACATGCCACAACACAACAAGATTATCAGCGTAATTTTCTTAACTAGCGCGACCTGAATTAGTCAGAATACTTGACCTTTGGATGAGAGGATTGTTATCATTATATATGTTAGCTATAAAATATGATATCCTTGTATTACTAGAGTCCCACTTTTTCAAACTTGGCTTGAATGACTTGCAATCGGACATACTTCAGCGCTAAAATTACGTAATACATTGAATATAAGCATGCTTTAATTTAGATAATATTCTGGGTTGCATATATTCAATACTCCCACGTGTTTGAGTGAGAGAGGGGGATAGAGGGTGGTGCGTTCGTTTGTGCGAGTGGAGGTGGGAGGAGGGGCTTGATATATATATTTTTGGTTTAAACTTTAAAATCACGTCAAGCAGAGAAGAAGTGGAGTAGTTTGCGTTAAGCAAACAAACAAGGCGGTTATCAGCTTAGCTACTTGCATAAGCTTAAATACTGTATTCAGATATGATGTGCAGGTCTCTACCATTCACCTTACGAATTGTATTACTATTCTACCAGTGCACCTGTATACGTGGTCCATGTATATTTTGACAAGTGAGAGGAGTTGCTCATATCAACCCTGCGAGATGAGATGACTACTGGCTATCATCATCAAGAATGTTACATGTATCATATTTTGGTTAATTCCCCACCAAGAGAATTTTGTGGCCGACTGGGTTGTGTCGCATTTTAAAGGAGGAACGTGCCCGGATATCTAGAGGGCCAAACCTTCCTTCCGTTCTAGTTCATATCCTATCAAAAAATGATCTGCCATGTCCATATTAGGTGTTTATTATGGTTATAGGCGGGGAATCCCTTTAGTACTGTGTTTGTTTTCCTTGACCCCTCTTTTAGGTCCTCTTCCCCATAACCATTTCGCGTTCCTGCTCGTTTTTTTTATTTTTTTAAACTTTCATGCTCTGCGGTTTGGGTTTAGCTTCCTGTGCTTTACCCTTCTGTTTGTTATGTGTTTCTTCTTTGGAGGTTTCCCTCCTGTTTTAATGAATATGTTTCCTCGAGCAAAAATAAAGAACTGAAACTCATTGATGGTGAGGTGGACGTGCATGACATGTACAACAGCCTAGTGAGTGAGTGATTCGGTAAAATATGTCATTCGTCATTTTAGTCATCAGTCAAGCACAAGACACTGACTCTGCTGTCATCCCAATGGTTTATTTTGCAACACAGAAAACCATGCAGTGCAATTCAAAGTTGTTGACGTAAAAGCACCAGAACATACATTGGTACCAACTGCCACTTGTCCTCATCTCATCAGTCCTCGCTTCCACTCTCGTACGAACACCCTTCCCTATCTCCAAACAGGAGTCAGGAGGCCCGTATGTCATTCGGTACACTGTTCATCGTGTGTGTTCTGCAGGAAAAGGATTATCGCCAGATACTTTTTTAAGATTTTTATAAATTTCGTGATCGGGATCGTTTATTGTATATCGTATGATTATTTTTTTTTATGTCTTATTTATATTTAATTTTAAAATTTAAAATTTAAAATAATTTTTTATAGTACAATGTACGATAAATAATAACGATTACAAAATTCCTAATATCCTTAAGAAAAGGATTCGGAGAGATCGATTTCCTGTCCCTTAAAACCCTAGCAGTAGTATATTTATTTGTTTACTGTGTCACTTACTTTCCTATTCAAATCTAGGATCGGTGATCTGATCTGTTATTATACTACGTTTATATGATTGCCAACTTGCCTTTGGTTATTGGGCTTAATTTACTGTACCAATAAAGTTAATAAACCCTAGTTAAATTTTTATTTCATTTGATTTTGTAAAAGATAAGTCCCTTCCTCGTAAACCCTTTAAGGCACGTTTACGTAACCGTTATCGGAATCAAAACACGAAATTAAATTCCAATTATTGGTATACCTTTGTTTACTAAACTTGGGAAGTAAAACAAAAGGTGGGACCCACACAAAATTTTGGAATTGAATTCCAAAATTTGGAGGATTTGGATTCCTTAGATTAACATGGTATTTGGATTCCTGGTTGTTTGGGCAATCGGAATAACACTTTTGTTCCCTTTATGCCCTCACTTACTTTTTCTATTTCTAGTACTATCATTTATAAACCCATTTTAATTATGTACAACTCCTTAACTTTTTTTTTTATTTTTTATTTGGGGCATTATGATATAGATCCAAAAAATTGAAGTACCATTGGCTTTAGTCCAATTTTTTGAAATTTCTAATTTAGGTCCACTTTACTATTTTTTAAACATATTTTATCCCTTGTTTTCAAATTTTGAATATTTAAACATCTGCAATCTACTAAACATTTAAAAAACGTTTCAATTCTTTACCCTTTAATAAAATAAAATATTTTTATCATAGATTAAGTTGCAAAAATATACAACCTAATTAAAAGGTACTTATACATAAATGTACATATACCTATAAGTAAGATATCAAACGAAGAAAATATATTTAATCAATAGGTAGATAAACGAACTGATAGGTACAAACACACAATTTACCTACCTATAAGCAAGATAAATTACTATGTAATATAGGAAAACATATAGAAGCAATCTGTGATAGAGATAGATAATAAAAAAAGAAAAATATAATCTACCTATAATAGAGGTAGGTTATATAACAAAATCTTGTGATACAGGTAGATTAATATCGGCCAAGAAATCTGTTGATGCACAAAATCGGCGAGGACTTTGGTACAACAGAAAGTGTCAAGATTGTGACCTTTGCTAGGTTGCTCTGATCATTAGTGTGGATAAGTATGTAAATGAATAGAGATAGGGAAGCAAACAACACAAGATGTACGTGGTTCACCTAGATTGGCTACGTCCATGGAGTAGAGGAGTTCTCATTAGTTGTGAAGAGTTTACACAGATACATAGGTTCAAGCTCTCTTTTAGTAAGTTCTAGTGAATAGTTTAGTACAAATGACATTAGGGATTATTGTGGGAGAATGATCCCTTTTTATAGAAGAGAGTTTCTAGTTTTGTTCTGACATTGACACGTGTCGTGTTGTGATTGGCCTCTGATATCGACACGTGTTGCGCTATGATTGGCCTCTGATACCGACATGTGTCGTGTTGTGATTGGCCTCCTGGTTGGAGGAAAAGTCTTATGGGTCCTTAACGGTATGCTGTTGACCAGTGCTTAGTAGTTTCGGGATTGGTCAAGTATGGTACAAACAAAATCAATTAATTTGAGTAAAAATACAACTCAAATGAAGATCCAATTTTGACCATGAAATTAACTAATTTGAACACAACAAGCAATTTGATGAAAGAAGCCAATCGACCTCCATTCTTGATCAAACATAATCAAATTTCATATATAGTGGAAGCCTGAGAAGAGAAGAGGAAAACTGAACAATGATAAAGAAGAAGAAGATTCGCAAGGCAAATGATAAATCCTAACTAAGAAAAAGGTTTTAGATAACAAACTAAAAGGAAATAATAGATAAATGAAGAAGAAATGAAGAGGCTTATATCCTCGCTTGGAGATATATAGGAAGTAATTTTATTCCAACAATTATCATATCATTAAGGGAATTTTATTATTTAAACCTCAAATAGGTAAAACTTATCACAAATACCAATCCTAAAATCAAGGGATAATATTGATTACTTATAAGTAATTTTAGGAGTAAATTGGTATGAAAATGAAAAAAAACTGATATGGAATATAATTGGACTTATCTCAAAAATGACTCACAAAATTGGATTCATATCAGATTTTCCCTTTTTATTTCCATGCTTATTCACATTATGCACAACTCCATGCTCATACACATTATGCACAACTCCATGCATATGCTGAAGAGAAGAAACTACAATTTGAGCGAGAAAATTAAAATATTAAAGTAATTACTTAAATTTATAAAAAATAAAAAATAAACAAAAGCATTTTAGTGTGTCTATGAAATAAA